AATCTGTTTTATAAAGTTTAATACGGATTCTTTTGTATTCTATTACATTTTTAATTTATAAATGATCCTTTTACATGTTTGTATTATTAACTTTACTTTAATACATGAAAAGATACCTCATGTATGTACATAAGTATGTGAATATATGGAACATTTTATTTCTTATAAAGATTCATCCTTTTTCATAATACACACATACATGAATACAGTATTTGAATTTCATTATGGACAAATTCTATAGTAAGCAATTTCTATATTGGGTTAACTTACTGTACAATATGTTACAGCACAAATTTCAATAAACATATTTTTCCTTTTGCTTTTTACTGATTTAAATGTTATTAAAAAAGGAGTTCTTTGATCTCATCATAAATGTATAGAAAGAAAATGTTTGTTTTAATTAATTTTGTCATAGACAGCAAACATACTTTGATGTTCAACTGTTAAGTTTTGACTATATGTACAATGCGATGGACCACGTTTTCCAGTTCCTTTTTTTAAGTTGTTTCAGTTGCGCAAAGCTGAAATACATATACATACATAGATGACCGATAAAAAACGTAAGCTCTAAACAAAACAAGTGTGGGCATTTTTTTACAATATAATTGTACATTATCGTTATCGTTTAACCGGCAGGTATACTGACGGATATAATGCCGGAAGTTGAAATACTTGCCCTAATTCTTATCGGCACAAAATCACTTTCCGAGTCTATTTAGCTCTGTTCACCTGTGTTCATATAGATATAGATACTGTTCGCAATTTTCAATATAATTTGATGAAATCTGGTACATACAGCTTTTTTGATAAACTGTTGACAATAGTTGAAATCGATTCATTACTTCAGATATGTTGGATTTGTCCTGATGTCTATAATGCATAGAATAAATGGTCATATGCACCATTAAGTATACCAATCGGCTCAGATTATTTTTCTGAGTCGAGTAGCCCATGTAAATTTTGTAATCGAACTACAGCTCGCAATTTTGAAGATGATTCGATGAATTTGGTACACGTGTTATTTTTGACTCAAGGACGAACCGTTTGATTTTGGTTTATATTAGTCAATTACTTCACATAGCCTCCATATAACTTGATTTCTTAAGTCGGGCTCTGGATATCATAATTATCTCAAATATACTAATATCCCACAAAATGTCATGTATATGGACTATATGATGCCTGAGGTAGGGCATTATATGGTCAGCCACGTACGAGTTGTATTATATACAATGTCCTAATGATACTGCCAATTTTAGTATTTATACTTAGAGGAAAACAATATACACGCCTGGTACCAAATTGACACCAAATTTTTCAATGACATCCGTTTTCAAATATATATATACATAACATGTTGTTGTTGTATGTATGTATATACTTGACAACGGATGATATTGAAAAATTTGGTGTCAATTTGGTACCCGGCGTGTATATTTTTTTCCTCTGTGTAGGTATATATAAAGTGCAAAAGGACTTAAACAACTATAATTCACTTATCAGGTAATAGAATTCGAAATAAATATTTTGATATAAACGTAAATGCCTTCACCAATATTTATGGCATATTATCGGCACATTTTTTGCCCTTGGTCCCATATAAATCCTCTTTCATAACATAACTTTTAAACATGTAGAGCTATAGTATAAATATTTTGAAATTAATGAAAAAAAAAAAACAACATAAATGATTTATTGTAAAACATAATCCACATTTTTAAACATACTTATAACCGGTGTAGGGTATCATATGGTCATCTATTTTTTTACCTTTTTTATAACTATTTAACACAATTTATTGTTGTTGCTTACTGTTTTTTTTTTTGTCACAAATTGGTATGATTAAAATAAAATTATGTTCGTCAACATATTTTTAGAAAATTTTTCGCTTTCAATTATACCAAAATTACTGAGACTTAAATGGATAACAAATTCAGTAAATTGACACTATACGTTGATTTCACCATAATTACAATTAATTACACATATTTTAAAATAATATGATGACGGTTGTACAATAATCTGTAACTCAGAGCAAATATCTTATTAGTATTATTAACAGAAATCGACGAAAATTAAATATTTTTGCAAATTTAAGCTTTTAAAAGAAACAAGGTTCTTTTTATGGAATGAATTTTTATATTCATAATTGATTTATTACGATTGAACTTAAATAAGACAATAGGCTACTTAATTTAACAGAATCCCAATATAAGGCATTTATCTTCAGAAAATTACTTTATGGTTATATATCGGAAGACATCAGAGCTGTTAAACATCGTATTAATATGGTTGATCTATCTCGTTAAGTGAGTATAACTTCTATTATATGTATTTATCTATATATATAAAAGAGTAGCGTTACTGACTGACTGATTCATCATCGCACAGTCCAAACGGCTGAACCTAGAATCATGAAATTTTAACAGTAGATGTGTTTTTGGTTATGTATATCCACTAAAGACGGATTTTTGGAAATTTGTACATTTAGGTGTAAAAAAGGGAAAAAACGGGTAAAACAGGTTTTCTTAATTATCTTACCTGTTTCGTACTTTTTTAAAATTCAGTCCTTTTTGGGTGTAAACTTTTACGATTTATTGAAGTATTCCTGTAATATTTATTGAAACAAAATTGTTGCTATTTCACTGGGGAAAGAGGTTCCAAAATGGGGAAAAACGGGAAATTTAATTTTATTCAAACTCATTGAGCCAATTTTTATAGAATTTTAAAAGATAGGTTATTTACTCACACAAAATAAGCTTTTGGTATATTATTTTGGAATTCGAGTACTAAGGCCTATATAGGACAAAATTCGTTTGCTACCTTTTTGAAAGTAAAATTTTTCTGGAACAAATGAATGCAGATTTGAATCGTTTGAGTTTTATCTGTGATATATAGATTTAAATACGGAACATTTTGTAAACTTAATTCTCAAGGGGCGAAAAGGGGAAAAATTGTATTATTTTTATTAGTACTTGCCACTAAGCTAGAATTTATTCCACTTTTGGTACTTTTTCTTTCCTCAAATGATACTCTGTATGTTTTATAATATGAATTCATATGATTATTAATCATATACAGTCCTCATTAAATAAGATTTGTTAAGAGAGAATTTTTTAGTACTATTTTTCTCATAAATGGTACTTTTTGAATTTTCTAAAATATTCAACACAGGAACATAAATTTTAACATACATGGTCTTGACTGAATAATATTCTGTAAGTGGGTACTCTTTGGTACTTTTCCATTCTTCAAAAGGTACCTTTTGGTTTCTATATAATGGTCAACCGGAACACATGACACACGGTCCTTATTAAATGAGAATTTATTGAAAGAGGTTTTTGTACTTCTTCGTTTTTCCGATGATACTTTTCGATATTTTGACGATATTGAACATAGATATATAAAATTTAAAATGTGAATGAGAATCTACTGAAATGGAATTTTGGTACTTTTTCATTCATCTAATTATATTTTTTGAATTGTGTATAATATTGAATACAGATACATAAAATTATTCATTAAATGAGAATCTATAAGAGTAATTTTATAGTACTTTTTTTCAAATAGTAATTTCGAAATTTTCTATAATGAATGAAACTAAAAATACAAGCTTCTTCCTGAATGCGAATTTATTCATGTGATATTGAACGTAAAAAATTTTAACATTAAAAAATTTTTAATCAATTTAATTTTATATAAAAGTAAACAAAATTTTATATATATTTAATTTTGGTTGGGGTAGCGAAGCACCCAGTGTATGCTAGTATTTAATAAATCTGAAAAATCAAGTAACATTGACTTTTTATTTGCAATAATTAAAATTTGTTTATTTGTTTGTGAGGAGACCAACATTAGCTTAATAAATTAAATGATAAATATGTATTTATGTAATATAAATCAGACATCAATGTAGTCTTTTATTAATACTATTGACGTTGAAATGTACATATATTTGTGTAAACATTTGTACGTTTTATTAGACCTGTACATAAAATATGTTGAAACCTTTTTGATATCGAAAATGTAATTTGTAAAATTGGGTAAATAATGTTAGAGTTTTTGATACCAAATGAATGTTGAGAATTTTTATTTATTTTTATTAATATTTTATTTCTTGTCTTGGTTTATCATGTATACAATCTATAGAATTAGTTTACAGTAGAGTGTCCCTTGGACAATATTTTTTACTTAGCAATCCTGGCCTCCGATAGGTTAGTGTTCTAGTCTGGGAGACCGGAGGTGGTGGGTTTGATTCCCACCTGAGGCACTAGTTAAGGAGCGCACAACTGGTCCGATGGAGGCTTTGGATATATTTCTTTGGATTTGATGTATGTATCTCCTCCTTTGAAACTAACTAACTAGCAATCCTGATCTCCATACATTTCTCAAAAAAAAATTTTAATAATACATTTTTAATACATTTTTATTCGATGTATCAATTAATAAAATAGTGGGTGTTTTTGATGGTACAAAGTCGGTTACAAACTTAGTTGAATTAAAATTCAAGTTTGTCAGCCAAAGTTTTTTTTTATAAGCCACACCATCATAATTCGCTAAATCTACTCAGAAAGTAATTTTGGAAGTCGGTGCACTTTTACTATACATATTAGCGTATTACAAACTTTAGTAACCATAACAGTACGCATATAATAACTTTTTTCTTGAATTGTTCTCTTTTTTCAATTGGTCTTACATTTTACAGAATTTATTTAGTTTTAGATACTAACAAAATAAACCCAAATAAAGTTAAATCCCCTTTGAGAACAGTTTAATGTACACAAATACATACATAAGTATGTATGTATGCTCTCAGTTTTTTAATAGAAAACTCTTCAGACATTTAAAATCCACTTCACTTTTAATAACCGTAAAATCCCAACTCGATATAAAATTGAAATATTTTTTTTTAAAAGCCTTTTGAAATAATTAAAACTCTTATTGTTCAGAATTCTAAGAAGAAAAAAATCGCAAATTAAAAAAAAAACGATTATACTCACATTGTCTTCTTTTTTGTACAGAATAAGTAGTCGTTTTTTTATCTTTCTGTTTAAGGACAACCTTTAAATGATGTCAATGGTTGAGGATTTTAGCTTGTCATTTGATACAACGATGGCATATGTATAGAGTATTTTCATCTTTTCCGTTCACATGTGATTTTTAAACAATTGTTACACGAGTTTGTGCAGTGTTTGATTTTTTTTAAATTGTTGTTTTTGTTAGATATGGATGGTCTAAATACTAAAGCAACAACTACAATAAGAAAAATCCAACAGCAAAAGAACACACTAAACAATGTATTTTATATCCAAACAAATATTTGCTTATTACCCAAGGATGAAGTCAGCAAGGATAATACAACACTTATGCAGGCTCACTAACACAAAATTCACTCACACCGAGCTGTATGTAAAAGAGAGGTTTTTTTGGTATGTTTTTGTTTTTACATTGACAATGGTTTAGCTTTAGAACACATACATTCCATATACATACACTGACTCACAGACACTAATTTACTTGTACGTAAATGTAAGTAAGAATGTTTGTAAGTATTATTTTACTTTCGATGTTGTATTTTTTATTTTGTTTTTGCTATTGTTATTAGCTTATTTTATCCTTTTCTGGTATTTTTTATGATTTTACACTTAATGTTGGGAAAACAAGTGCAATATAAACACATAGATTCTAATTATTTCGAATGAAGTTGTGGTTGATTTCTTTTGGTACTAATGTTTTTATTTTATTTTTTAGTTGAGTATATTTATCCTTACACTTTAACTTTCAGTTTTCTATGCAGATTTTTAAGCATAAAAACATTAATGTTGAATTTTAATTGCTTTTAACTTTTGCACTGCTTATTAATTATTTAAGTAGTATACTTTTTAGGCCGGTATTTATGAAAAATATTTCTAAAACATTACTATTGTTATTGATATTAAAGAATAGTCCTTTTATTAAAACACTTTTTTATAAATTTATTTGTTTTTATCATTTATTAAATATGTTCTTTAGTTGAATTGCACATACACCCAGAAATCTTTATATATGTATTTACTCATACATGAGAATATCAACAATAAACACACTTGTAACAATAGTTATTCATGGCAGGCTTTAGGCTGTGACAGTGATTCTTTATTATTATTTTTTGTTTCACTATTTTTGTATTATTATGCACAAATATACAGACAACAAATCGAAAAAAATTTGCTTTAAAATTCACTTTCGATCTGAAAATAATGAAAATAAATATTGTATTTATTTACATGTATAATTTATTTTAATTTTATTTCAACTTTATTTTTCATGTTGTTTTTTTTTCAACATCCTTGAACATGACAAAGAAGCAAAATGAAATTATAGAAATGAAGGAGGGTTGTTTGTTGTTTTATTTAAATTTTCTTTAAACAGAGTGACAAGTGGCAGGAATCAGACTTTTGCCCTCTTTGTAGTTAAAATGTAGATTTGGGTTAACACGTTTCTTTAAATACGAATGAATGTATTCACACCATATCATCACTTACTCAATTCAATTGTCGAGTAATTTACAATGCGTATTTTTAAATTTATTTCTTGTTTTAAATTCAAAATATTCTTTTTTACAATTTTTAGCTTTAATCACACTTTAACATTTTACTCATTCATTAATTTTCTTGAGTATTTCAACAAAGAAATAAAACATTATTTTTTACAATGCTTTCGTCATGCCTTTGAATTCAACTCAGCTTGAATTCTCTCCAAATATTTCCTTTCAAGGATAACAAAAAAACACTTTATTATATTATTTTCTATTTTATTTTGATTATTTCAAAACAATGCATTCAAAATACCTTGAATATTTTATTCTTTATTTTTATTATTTTTATATTTTTGTTTTCTTATTATAAATGACCGGTTTAACAATTTACAAATTGCTTTGGTCTTCTGTCATACACTCATTCACACATCCATAAAATATTGAAAACACAATATATAAACAATTTGTTAAGCATTACAGCGTTATCGCGTGGCTACGTGAGTTTTTTAGAACAGCTTTCACCGAATATTCACCGTAGACTAACTGGAGTAGCCTGGTTGGTGCACGCCCGTACAACGTGAAAGTTAAGGAATGTTGGCAGTCACAATATTCCACAAACCTTGTATCAAGTAATAGACAATGACCAAATGCAGAGCGTAACTGAAACTCATTGAAGTAAAAGCTAAATATTTTAAGTTCCAAACACTGATTGTTGAGGCGCAGGACTCGAATGCGCACAATCGTTATAGAAAAAGCTTTCGGACTTTAATTCGGTAAGTTGTAAAGAGCGAGAGCATGAGGGTGATACAATGAGAGTCGATATCCTATTTTTAGGATTCTGTTGAAGTCAAAAATCTTAAGAAAACCTGTAATTTAGTCAGTTGTGCCATATTCAAATACGTAATACTTTCACCCAGCTGTTCAAATGGTGCATGCGCCGAATGTTACATTCCAATTTGGAATTTGTAACACTTTACAGCTGCCATATTGTGCGCGTTTTTATCGTAAATACAATATTATATCGTAAAATATGATTTTGTTTATCGTAATGTGTCCACTCTTTTTTTGACAGTTTAACTCTTGTGACCATAGTTTAAGAGTAATTTTTTAACCTTCTTTTATTTTGTTTCATTTTGACCTTATTATCTGCTCACTTGCACATGGCCAACTCTCATATTTACATCTACAACAAATTATTAAAAATTCTATAAGTTTTTAGTTTTTTGTAATCTGTCCGTAGTGACTGAAACTTTTAAAATTTTTAAGATTTCAAAATTATTCAATAAACTAATGAAATTTTTTATGTCGAGGTGTTTTAGTGGATTGTAATAATCGGATTTTTGTTCCGGGAATACCCGGCAAATTTTTTGCATTTTTCAATAAATCATGAACTAAAAGATATTGATAATATCTATACTCTGTCGTATCATAAGAACGTGTCCCAAATAATTCTTAATTTTTTTAATATTTTCCCATGAATATGTTTCTTAAAGAAATTTGTAACGAGACTGATTTTATAATACAAACAGTTATTCACAACTATGGTAAGATACAATCTAAAGTAAAAGTCAGTAATCGATGTTGCATTTTTTTATTCTGAAAATTTTTTTAAGTTTTTACAATATTTTGTTTAATTTAAAATTTTTGTTAACTTTCAAATTTCGAAAGCCATATTCTTTGAAATGGCGAAGAAATCATTTAATGAATCAAATCATTCTCAGGAATTCAATCAAATCAAAAATATTCTCAGGAATTTCGGGAAACAAAAGTTAGTTTATCTGACATTTAACAAGTCAAGCACATTTTCTTTTTTATGGTGACACTCTAATATACATACATGTATGTATGTATGTATGTATGTATGTATGTATGTATGTATGTATGTATGTATGTATGTATGTATGTATGTATGTATGTATGTATGTATGTATGTATGTATGTATGTATGTATGTATGTATGTATGTATGTATGTATGTATGTATGTATGTATGTTATGTATGTATGTATGTATGTATGTATGTATGTATGTATGTATGTATAAGTACATAGATTTGTATAAGGTAATGACCCGCTTATTGCCGGGTACATCGTCATGTTTTATCTTTGAACAAAAGTTGTCGTAGGTCTTCATTATAATAAATACGTACATATGTATGTATCCATGTATAAATTCATATGTAACTGTAATTGTGGATATACACAAATACATACATACGTACTTAAGTATGAGAAAATTATTCTCTTCATTGCTGGTCAAACGCAAGGAGGTTGTTTTACATTTTTTCTGTTGAATTTTCTTCTGTTTTCTTTATTTTCCTTTTAACCCTACTAACTCAATTTATGTTGATGCTAGTGTTTTTTTTTTCTAGCTGTGTCTTACCACTTGTTCATCATCGTTATTATTTTTCTAACATTTATTTGACCTTTTTTGGGAGGCGAGGGAAATTTGTTTGAATTTAAGTGTCGCTTTTTCCGGTTTTACTTCAGTTTTGTATCCTCGAGCACTATGAATGGCATAATTTGCACATGTATACGAACACAATCATACATACACTCACACACACACGCAAACATTACATACATTGTACAAACATACGATTCATAAGGACGAGTGCAAATGTACATAAAAGTCATTCTTAATCTTTCACTATACATGCATATGTATGTCCCCTCGAGCACTTTCACAGTTCTGTGCGTGTAGTGTATTTTTTTAATTTTTTTGAGATTTTAGCGTCACCATTTTTTCACTTTTCTTTGTGTATCCTGTCATTTTTTGTTGTTTCTATAATTTAACTTTATTTAATACAGATTTAAGCTTTACAAAAATCGATTTGCTGTTAGTTTATGCTGCAGGTGATTTGTGATAATGACAAGTTGTGGTCTATTGAGAATAAGAAACAATTTATTTTACCTTTAATGTCACTCATACAAACAACTACAATTTAATGTGCACCTTTACGAAATATTATATATCCCCATGTACAAAAATTAGAGTGTCCCATAGGAATAAAAATAGTTCTAAATTCGCACTAATGATGTGTATCGATTTGCAAAATACCTACAAAACATGAAAAAAAAAATTTGAAAATTATCTTCGGGTTTGTTACCAGAGATTGAAATTCATTCAATTTGAGAAAATAAAACGTCTTCAAATCTTTTTTGGTCTGTCTAATTTTGTAATTTTAGCTACACTTGCTAAAATTTGTATATTTTTTTACACAATGTAATATTTCCGCAATCTACAACATCTAAAGTCCTATTATATTGATTACGACAAGTTTTACTAGTCCAGCATAAAGGGTCGGTTATTATATTCAATTCATTTATACTTTGTTTGATAACGCTAATTTTGGAGTTAGAAATAAAGAATATAGTATAAAATATAGAAAAGTATATTTTTCGACAGTTGATTTTTATAAATCTAATGATGCAATTCTACAGAGAAATGTTTCATCTGAGACCTAATAAAGTATATTCTTAATCCTTATGAAATTCTGAGTCGATTTAGCTATGTCGTCTGTCCGTCTGTCTGCGTAAAACACGAAGCAATAGAAATTCAAGAAATTCACCCAAAACAGTCTTTATTATCCGGTACACGGTGTAAAAAGTAATGAGCAAAAATTTCAGACTACCTCAAAAAAAATAAAATTTTTTTCCCACATACTTCATTGATAAATAAATCTAATTCGATAAAGTTCGAGCTGAATATGTTTTGTGTACATACAAATCATTCTAACAAATTTTTTTTGGATCGGTCCATTATTGGTCATAGCTCCCATATAAGGCCCACTTCCGAAAATCATTTAAACGCACATATTTAATTGTCAAATAAAGCTATCTTGATAAAATGTCACTCTACGAAATTTCGGATCTACTTCCGAAAATCACCTAAACGCATATACTTCATTGAATTCTAAAGCTATTGGTATAAAATTCAACTTAAATATGTTTTGTGTATATATAAAACTTCCTCCAATTTTTTTCCAGGATCGGTCCATTATTAGTCATAGTTCCCAAATAAGGGCCACTTCCGAAAATCATTTAAACTCTCAAATTTCATTGTCAAATAAAGCTATCTTGATAAAATTCGACACAAATATATTTTGTCTATATATGAATCACACTACGAATTTTTTTTCGGATAGGCCCGTAACTGGTCATAGCTCCCATATAGGGTTCACTTCCGAAAATCACATAAAGGCATATATTTCATTGAATAATAAAGCTATTGGGATAAAGTACGACTTGAATATGTTTTGTTTGCATACAAATCATTCTACCAAATTCTTTCCTAATCGGTCCATAATTGGTAAAAGCTCCTATATAAGGTCCACTTCAAAAATTAAACGCACATATTTCATTATAAAATACAGCTATCTTGATAAAATCCGACACAGATATGTTTTGTGTATATACACATGAATCACTCTACGAAATTTTTCCGGAGAGGCCCGTAATTGGTCATAGCTCCTATATAAAGTCCACTTCCAAAAATCACTTAAACGCACATAGTTCATTAATTGATAAATCTAATGGAATAAAATTCGATTTAAATATTTTTATTTTTGCATATAAATTATTATACGAACTTTTTTCCTGATCGGTTCATAATTGATCACAACTTCCATATAAGGATCATTTCTGAAAATTACTTTAAAGCACATTGACAGTCAAAGTTATCGGGATAAAATTCGACATAAATATGTATTTTGTATATACATATTAATTGTTATACGGAATTTTACTTCTGAAAATCACTTAATACCACCTAATTCATTCTTAAATTATTATATGCAGATAACTGGTCTATTAATATAAATTTGTCTGGACCAAATCAAAATTACGGAAATAAAAATGTTGTCAAGTTGTCTAAAAACTAGATAGATAAATGGGTTTTAATAAAAAGTAGCTTGCTGGTGGAGGATATTTGAGAATCGGCATAGCCGATTCTCTAACTTGTTATTTTAGCTTTTATACATAAAACTAGACATTTATCCAAAATTTTATTATTATAGCCAATAAAATAAATAAGATAAAAATTGCATAAAATTGATTTGAGTTATTTTTTAATTTTGATCAAATGAATTATTACCTAGTCCGTGGAAAGTTATTGCTAAAAATTTCTAGAATCATCAACCCTTTCAAAATCTTTGTCAAATTCACATGTTGTTTAATATTCTTCATTAAATAATATTACAATGTTGCTTCACTGGACGCTCTAATGTAAGTACATGTGTATATTTGTATATGTATTTCAATAAGGCATACGATCTTACACACATACATGCATACATATGTATGTATATAAGTAGGATTAAGTAGTTTTATAACAATATAATAACAAAATATTGTTTTTAAATATAACCTACACAGAAAAAACTAAAAATATGTTTTAATTATCAAAATAATTGTATCAAGCAAGTTTTGCACCTATCACCAAAATGATGATATCAATTATCAAATTTGTAAAAAAAATAAAAAAATACTTTTTTTTTCCAAATAACGAATTGATCAGAACAATTAATATCAATAATTGAGACAAAATTTAAAATTGATTAATTCATTAATTGTATAAATTAAATATTTAATAAAAATAAACTCTAATTTTTATTAATTTATTAATCAAAT